TGTGCTTCGCTGCTTACGAGGTTGGAATTAATGAGGAAGTTCAGAAGAGATTGCAAGACGAGATCGATCAGGTTTTGGAGGATTGTAAGGGCGAAGCCACGTACGAGGCTATCAACGACATGAAGTATTTGGACGCTGTCATTCTCGAGAGTCTTAGGATGTACCCGACCATCGTGGCTATCGATAGACTTTGCGTAAAACCGTTCGAATTACCGCCACATTTGCCAGGAAAAAAACCCTACATCGTTCAAGAAAATGAATGCATATGGATACCGATTTATGGAATTCAGCGCGATCCACAGAATTATCCAGAGCCAAACAAATTCAATCCTGATAGATTCTACAGCGATGCGCAACAGATGCTCAACTCCAGTTCGCTCTTTACCTTTGGATTGGGACCTAGAATGTGTATTGGTAACAGATTCGCGATATTGGAGGCGAAAGTTTTGTTGTTCTATATTTTTGCCAAGTGTAACCTCTTACCATGCGCCAAGACTTCTATACCGCTGAGATTGAACAGGAAAGGATTTGCTATGACGTCAGAGAATGGATTTTGGTTTAACATTCAACCGAGAAACATAAAGAAAGGCGAGGTCGAGAAAATTACGGTTCCAGGGAAAACGATGTTTATCGAGAAGATTCCTGATAGACATCCAGACAATTAAGTTATATGCGATGTTTGTAATATCAATCTTCCGAACTTTCGTTTGAAAATATCTACGTATATTTTTTCGATATATTCAATACGATAAGATCGACGGTAAACCAGAAATCAGAACCGAAGGTTTCGAGTTGAACACGTCACTTCAAACGTTTATATTTAGTTATTCGCATCGTCACTTGATTTCGAAGTATTAAGAATCGAGATGCTTGTTTTGCGAAAGAAAGTGAAAAACACATATACTTGGGGTATTCAAAGTGTATAGAGAAATAAAAATCTTTCATATAATATTTTCATTGTAACGCATAAAATATACGAATTGTATAAAGTTTCGGGTCAACGATTTCTCTTTGGTTCGAACAGGGAAACACTCTTAGATATCTATATACAAAATCAACAAGTTGAAAATGATTCTATTTAACAACGAAGAACGTAGTGACTTTTGCGGAGATGAAGTACATCTTGTTTTATTTAACTGTGTTAAAACATCGTTAAATTTTCATAACTTTAAGCGATTTTAGTATTTTGTCAAATGATTTTCTATTGATACGATCTTTATGATTAATATGATTTTGTAGAATTTATAGAAAATAATCGTTACTAATATTCTACAAGCGTACTCTTATCCAGTTGGTTTGCCAAATGCTTGACGGATGATCTAATACATCAGATCTAATGATCTAATAACTCGATCAATGTTTTATAGCTTTTTTTTCCTTCATACGTGTTTACGAGATTTTCTCTGTATACTAACATTTATATACTTTTTATTATTTAGATAAATGTATCTGTTATAATATAATATGATTAAACAAAATTAATATTTGGAATAAGAATAGTTTGGGTTTAAATAGAGAAACAAACTAAATAAATACAAGTTTGTATTGGGAAATGGAATTTATAATTCTAATCTATAATCGATTCTTATTATAATAAGATTACATTATTGTTTTTAAGATAATACCATACTGTCCATACCATACTTCGTCCTAGTTTCACAAATTTCAAGTTTCAGGTACCGTAAACTAAATAATTAACGATAGCATCCTCCGTCTGGGGCTCCAAAGTTCTTTCTGATAGAGAAAAGATTCAATATACGATTGCCTTTCCTGAACATTAAACGATGCGAACAAAACGATATCTTCGTTCAAAGATGTTAAAGTTTTCGATCAGCTTTGTGTTTATACCTAAGGTACATTTCAATCCTTTTTATCGATTTTCTTTATTTATCGTATTATTTTTACGAGTCAATTTCCGTTAAGCACCGATGTATCTCAGTTTTGGAGGTTCTTTACTCCTTTCTCCAACCTTCCCGCGTGATCGTAAATAAGGGGAAAAAGCCAAAGAGATAGAGAATTTTTTGGGTACCCCACAAAATTCTTCTGCCACCATTTAACCTGTTCATATTTCAGTGAAACGAATCGGAGAAGAAATGAAAAGGAGGATCGAATCATGGCGCGTGTTCTTGGTCATATAATGGATACGTGTTACGCGTCCATCTCAATTATCCTGGCCGGATGCGTCAGCATCGTCTCTGCATGTCCAGCACGTAACATGGAGTCGAGATACATATAACAGTCGTATGTGTAATATATTCTACTACGTGATCGGCTAGTGGCAAAGACGCCATACGACCTTGTGAATGTTGCTTTAATGAGCGAGTTCCCGCGTATATATAAGCTGCTACATCATGAGATGGTTGCTCGTCACAATATCACGCGGATATCGCACCAACCTAATTGCGACCTACTTCTTCATTCTCGTGGTTGAAGAAATTGTGATAATATGCTGCGAACTCTCATGGATTTGATATTCGATTTTCTGGGAATCGCGAACTTTGTCTTTAGACAGGGTTCCGATTGGTAGCTGGGACGATTAAATACATATGATCATTTCTTTTTATAACTTTTTGAAATACACCAGAAGAAAAGCAATGAATTTCATTAAATTTATTAAATGATTGGGTCATTCTAAACGTTTTGTCTTCCGAAGATAATCTTAGGTCTATTATGTTATAGTTTCTAGATGTGAAAGTTTGTGGTTGCTGCTCGATTTTCTCTGTCTTATTCCACTCGTTCAATTTGGAATGATTACAAGGTTCAAGACTAAACGTTGGAACGATCGTACACTGTAATTTGTCACAATTTCAAACCGGGGATTTCAATTTTAAACGACCGTCGATGTCCATTTGAAGCGATTGTGGATCTTCAATTGAAATTACTTTGAATTTCATTTGGGAACAATCATTCTATTTATAAATATTCTGAGGTGTAAGTGTTGTCCCTGATAATTGTAGCTGCTGACTGTAGATATGTCGCTGACGGGGTACTGCTGTTTTTCTTCCATTTTTGATGCGTAGCAAAAAAATCGGACTCCGTTTGCCGGGATTTGGAACCCGGGTCCCGAACGTTCGTAACTTAAGGCGCTAACCACTGCGCTGCCGTCGTCCGGCAGTAGTTAGTGTCGAGTGGTGGTATTTGCTGTTGAGTGCCGCCACAATTCAAAAGAGGACTCATTGTGAATATACGCAATTAATTAATTGACCTGTCAATAATAAGTACGCGGTTGTGCCCGCATCAAATCGTATCGCTATAAAGAAGAAAATAACAAACAACTTATATGTCCTCTTTGACACCATACGAATATTTTTAGAAAACACGCGAGTAGCTTACAAGGAACTTAAATATCTCTAGATTAAATTGCGAAAAGTATTTTGTATGAAACTATATACTTGTACCTAGTTGTAACTTTTAAACGGATAAAGTTATCAGTGACATTTTTTCTTCGAAGATAATTAACGAAGCAACGACGTGGCAATCTTTAATTGAACTAACGATAACGACTATTGAAAAGATACGAAACGAAACTCAGATATGGAAATCTCTTCGACGAAGAGCATATTGACGAAAGATAAATATTTTATTAAGAGTTATTTTCTCGCACGGCTAATGTTAATAATGTACGATATCCTTAAATAACGTTATAATAAATCTCTATATTACCTCCAATCATTTTATTATGACCTTCAACAGTATAATACTACAGTAACAACAATGTCGTAATAAAATCTCTGTTCCTTACGAATGACCACACGATGAGAACCACGCACATTTACCATGAAATTTCTTCGGAAATCAATATAAACCAACACTCGACTAGCAACATTAACAACAGCCAAACGAAGTTAGCAATAACAACTAGATACATAGTTAACAATAGCAACGGAGTTGGCCGAGATAGGAAACAACGCAACGAATATTTTCATAAACGATCAACAAGTTATATTCGACGAAGCGGGAAAGCAATTTGGTCCAGTGCAGATTATCGTGCAACTTCTTCGGAAGGTTGGTCGTTGTTAAAGGACCCGTTTCCGATCCAACGACCCTTAGGTGCCTTAGGAAATATCTAGCAGGTTGACTCGATAAAACTACCCTCTCCCCTCTAATGCAATTCACTTTAGCTACGGTGAGTGCGCGGAAGGGATGAAAAGGAAAACTCCAAGACCGAAGGTTAGCAATGTAACCAACACCATCAAGACCGGCTTTTGGCCAGAATTAATGAACTGAAGATCGTAAGGGTGGATTCAAGCAGTGTATTGTCTTGTCGTGTTAGTGGAAAAAGGCGCGAAACGATGGCTAAAAGGGAAAACGAATCTTAGTTTTCTTGCTCTTCTTCTACCTTTCTTCCCTCTTCGTCTTCGCAGTGTTATATATCCTACGATAAAACTATGGCAAATACATTACAATTATAATGAATTGGACCAATTATCGAAACGTGAAATACTGTTGACACTTTTATTAATGTATAACATATACTTTTATCGCTTTGAAGACTATTGTTTATGGTAAAAATTATAACTCATATTCATACATATAATTTACAGATAAACGATGTATAATTACGCAATAAATTTGTGCTTCTGTTAAATCTCACATGCGGAATAAAAATTAACATTACCTTCCTAACTATCCGAAACAATATTTACTCGATTACAATATTTTCCTTCCGCAAGTGTCAAACATTCTATTTATCCGTTTACTCGTCATGATTAGTCACTCTTTTTACTTAATCTACGATATTTTTCTTTCATTAATTGCAATTAAAGAACTTTTCTCATGTAATAGTAACATGTTACATGTATATCCACGCATCCTTGAATTTATTTCATTCTGTATTTATGCCAAACGAATTTTCCGAACTTAATGTTTCAATTACGTCATAAACTTGCTAAAAAACAGTTTTTTTGTCAAACTCTAACGAAACAATTATATTCAGCAAATTGTTCATTACACAATATTAATCTTTCGAAGCACGAGCGAATAATCAATCAGATCACGAATTATATCAGAAACTTTTTATTTTGCTTATATCACATTAAGTAAAATAAATAGCAATCTTTAGTTAGTATTAGTATTAACATTCGAAAGACGGACGCTGCGCAGCTGGATTCGCAATACATTTTTTTTACTCCAAAATGTCTTTCCTGCTCTTGTTATCGAGATCGTGCGAGAGTTTTCTTATCGCTAATGGAGAGGAAGGGGCCAGGCTCATATTACAAAACATCTTCAGTATGCTCCAAACAAAATTGAGCCAACGTATAGATCACGTGGATTACGACTGATTCGGTGTGACGTCCGCCGACATAGAGTTAACCGAAAAACACTACTCCTTACGCAAAGAAGATTTTAACCGCATTAAAGATCACTCATTCGCAAATTCAATTTCTACAATTTCCATTGCTCAGATGCTTTGTCGTTCCATTAGTTTGAGATATGCAGTAAAAATTTTCTCTGGGCTCAACATTCAGCCAAAATCCATTCTTAGCATAGGCAGTTATCACACCTTCCTCATATTGCAACGGAAGCAACATCTTCGATCCAATCTTGACATTGCACTTGGCGAGAATGTGACACAGCAATACCTTTATCTCTGTTAACGCGAACCGATTGCCGATGCAGATTCTGGGACCGAGACCAAACGGCATAAACGCACCCGAATTTATGATCTTCTTTCCATTCTCAAGGAATCTATCCGGATCGAATTTCTGCGGATTTTCATAGTGCTTGGGATCGTGGTGAATCGCGTCAACAGGTATCCAGATGTTCATTCCTGCTTTTACGGTGAAAGGTTTTTCACCAGGTAAGGCTGGTGGCAGCTCGAAATCTTTCACGCATAGTCTATCCAAGAATACGGTAATTGGTTGCAATCTCATCGCTTCGTTGATCATGGCATCCAAGTACTTCATCTTCTGTATGGCATCGTAAGTCAATTGTCCGTTATTATTTTCCAACGTTTCGTCGATTTCCTTCTGTAATCTTTTCAAAATCTCTGGATTTTCGGCTAGAAGGTAGAACAGAAAGCTCGTCTGCGTTGCAACGGAATCAATTCCGCCAAAGAATAAGCTAAAAGCGTGATTAACCATGTTTTCCGTGCTCATACCTTTTCCTGGACCCTTCTTGTCGTTTACATCTATGAATAGTTGTAGAATATCTGATCGATAAGTGCCATTCTGTTTCCTTTCTTCGATCGTGTTGATCACTTGTTCGGTAAAAAATTTCGCTATATGTTTGTCCAGAAATCTGAGCTGAAGGAGCTTCGCCAGCCAGGGTAGGTTCCTTTGCGCCAACATTGCCATATCTTTTTTGAAACTAGTGAACGTGGTCGATTTGCCGTACGTGTAAAATACGTTCTTCGGATTTTTTATGGTGTCAACAGATACACCATAGACGCAGGTGGCGATTACGTCGTTGGTATATTTAGTCAGCAGATCCCTCATCTCCATTTCACGCTCATTCTCCGCTAGATTCGACAAATAGTTCGCGTATCTGGTAGCACACTCGGACATCAGATTGAACATATCCTTTACCTTATTGGAAGTAAACGCGAGTGACAATATGCTCCTTTGTTCCTTCCATTGCTCGCCTTTCATAGAAAACAGCATACCGGCAAATATAGGGTCCATGTCCTTGAAGACAAAGTTACGATGATCGGTAAAGTGATCGAAATTCTTCATGTTGACGGACTTGATTAAGTCGAGATCGCGGAGCACTATGATAGGCGTGAGGGACTCGTATATGCCAACATATTTCGCTTCAGGATGAAGTTCATAAGCTTCCAGAATGGTGTCTTGCAAGGTGGACCGTTTTGCGAAGAAGGATCCCATATTTCCAAACAATGGTATCGGTGGAATGTGCAGAATTCCATGTTTCTTGAATATATTATGATTCTTCGTGGCACAGTAGTAGATAGCGATCAGTATCGCTATTAAAAACAGACCAAGGGACAGATACTCCATTCGAATATACCACAACCACTATCAGAATTTTACTTCCGACACGATGTTTGCTGTGTCGGCCTTTCCGAATAACTAAAGGTCGATCAATTTATCGCGTAGCTATATACATAAATAAGTAAGAGGACACGTCTATATTCTGATACGCAAGAATGTCTCAAGCGTAGTAAACTCCCTAATCTTTAACGTTACGTAAGCAAAAACGAAAAAGATGAAATCTGTATTTCGTAAAAATCGCCATGATTTATTTAGCGAAGGTAGGAAATGCGTAAAGTATCTTTTAAACGTTTGTCCGCTTACTTAAACGCTGATAATTGCACAATGCATTACGGAATATCCTATACGCTGCAGTCGCAAATCTTTTTCGGAGCCTTCTAGCTACGCAGTACTGGAGAAGGCTTAATTTACGGTACCCTAGAGTATTTTTGCTTCCTCTTTCTAGAACCCAGGCTGAGGAAAACCACGAAAACCACGTGATCAAGCGCTCCTTGCAGCTATCTTTGATTCACACTCATTTTTGTTTTATTGTATCAGCCGGATCGATTGACGAATTAACTAACCTATCTGATTGTCTTTAGATTAAGTGTCAAACGACAGTGCATGGCTTATAACAAATAATTACATCGTAATATGTAAAAATAACAATATTTAATCTAACTGTAAATTTTCGTACGGATGTCTCGACTAATTAAAAAGTTCCTAAATTAAATGATTTTAAAGTTACGACTGGAGTAAAATCATTGTTCACGGTGACATCATCTTATGGACAATGCGTGGACATAAATTCCTATATGAATAATTGGAGTACGTTAAGGTATAGTGGAGGTATTGAATAGTGGAATAGAAAAATTCAAATATTTTGTAATAGATTTGAAATATTCGGTATATTTAGAACACTTAGACACACGTAAACGAATAATTTATTGAAAAGAGGCATTTGTCCTATCAACGAGATCGAATAATCTAACCAATAAGATGTTTTGATGTATATGTGTATGTATTGAAATATGTACCGTTTTGCCCGAACGATGAGGATCTCTTCGTATGGAATTGACAATGTTTCCAAAAAAACCGCAGATACGAATATAGTGGTTCAAAGCAGCAGAGATAAAAGTCAAGAATTTTTTTTGGTATTTTAAGCAAGTTTGGACTCGATGATCTATGAACTCGTTCATCTATCTCTTGATGTTTGATGAACTCCTGCCCGGCGCGGCACTCGCCGTGTGATTTTTGCATTGGACTTTGATGCGCGTTTCGACACTAGTTTGCCAGGCGTAACTCTCTGAAACAAGGTTAAGTACATGCGAACGCTGATACGCTGGTATGGTTTAGATCGCTGGTGTTTCTGTGCCATGCGTAATAGTGTACACAATTACTCGACATTACTAGACCGTACAATATCATAAAACATATTTCCTATGCCGTCCTTTATCCGTCGTTAACTCGCGAGATTATTTATAAAATTCCTAAAAAGAATCCACGAACGAGAATTCCTTACATAAGATTAAATCAATTGTTAATCGTTAATCAAGAGTTTCGATCGAATCGGAAATTTATTATGGAAGTAACTACTGTTGATAAATTATTCCATTGAGCATATTATACATTGCATTGTGATTTGCCGAGAATCTGATTTTCTGTCAGACAATAAATCAATATACAGGATGATTTATCTAATTCGGTCATCTCAATTTAAAACTACATACGAACGAAATAAGTCAGAACGATATTAATGTTACATTACGATGGGACTGTAACAGGAATGTTATCACGATACTAAATTGTGCATGCTCCGTACAATTTATACATACGTAACTATATTGCTTCGTTTGAGGAAAGAAAGTAGTATTGTTGATATTTGTATCAATGGAACAAACTTACAGTACCATAACGCAGGCTTTAGATGTCACATGCGGAATTTATCGCCGATGGAAAACAGATACGAGAAACAGATCGTTTGCTAATTTTTTAAAGTTAAATATATTCCTAATAAGAGTTCAAAGTAGGAATACTTCAGTTTTAGGGATAGGGTTGAATAACACACCGATTCTTTGCAAAAATAAAACCGTTTAATAATTTTCAGTAATACTTTAAAGTAATAGAACTATTTAATAATAATAAACTTAATAATAATAACAGTAACAAATTTTAATGAACGGAGAGAAACCTTTTTTTATAATATTGTAGCGAAATATTAGAAGCATAACGAGTTAAACAATCAAATTTTTATACATAAGTTTAACAACATAAGTTTCATAAAATTTATGCAATGCAAGAGTACAATATGACAATCAATAAACAATATCTAATATCAGTGTCGCACAAAGATAGAAGATATTGCATTATTTCACAAACGGATTTTTCTTACACTTTGATGGCGAATCATAAAGGAAGTCGAGTTGGTCGATGTATTTATTAATTCTGCAGATTCTGTTGATGATATCGTTACCGAATGTCGATTGGCGAATAGGCGTATGAAATAATATCGAATGCTGAAGACATAGGAGGGAATGTTAAAGTTAATACGTATTGTAAGATCAGGACAGTTAATTCTGTTGTTCCAAATACTGCGTAATAATGATAATTCGTTAACAGTCCTACGCTGCTCTACTTACAATATATTCAATTGAGACAATAATCACTGAATAATCATGATCAGGTCGCCCCTCTTATACGCAAGGAACCTGAGAAAATGATTTTGGATATTTTCCGGAAGTTAACAGGATTTCTCAGAGCTTGGCGTCCATATTGCCGGCGCGTATTCGAGATGAGATACTACAAGATACTACAAGTGTAATTACGTGTAACAAGTGTAATTTAATACGTTCTTGCCTTTTACAGTATGAGATTATCTCGAGTAATTGATTTTTCAAACTCTGACATGTGAACTATATTTCGCAAGCTGTACATTACATGATATTAATTGTTTAATGATGCGAACGTATGATAAACGTATCATTTTAAAGGTTTAAAATTTTCTACAAATCATTTGTACAAATTCATTTGGCACCTCCGTTGACCTGGGAAAAGCGATCAGAACGTTTCCTTGGCTTAATGATCAACCAAAATCCATTTTTCGCACCGGCGTTTATCACACCTTTCTCGAATTCTAACGGAGTTGTCGTTTTCGGTCCGATCTTGACATTGCACTTGGCAAGAAGGTGACATAGCAATACCTTCATCTCTGTGAGTGCAAACCGGTTTCCGATGCACATTCTGGGCCCAAGGCCAAATGGCATATACGTGTCCGAGTTCATAATCTTCTTACCATTTTTAAAAAATCTGTCTGGATCGAAATTCAAAGAATTTTCGTAGTACTTAGGATCGTGATGAATCGCTTTCACAGGAATCCAAACGTTCATTCCTTTCTTGATTGTGAAAGGTTTGTCACCGGGTAACGCAGGTGGCAGTTCGAAATCTTCAGCACATAGCCTGTCTATGAATATAGCTACCGGATGCAGTCGCAAGGATTCATTCATCACGGCATCTAGATACTTCATCTCGCTTAGAATAGCGTAGGTTAATTGCCCGTTGTTGTTTTCCAATGCTTCATCGATTTCTTGTTGTAATCTTTTTTGAACATCTGGATTTTCGGCCAACAGGTGCGTCACTAAGCTGATTTGCGTGGAAACGGCCTCAAATCCACCGAAGAAGAAGCTGAAAGCGTGAGAGGCCATGCTTTCCACGCTCATACCTTTTCCTGGCTCCTTTTTTTTGTTAGTCTCTAGCAATAGCTGTATGACGTCCGATCTATAAGCACCAGTCTCTTCTCTAGCTTTGACTGTCTCGGTTACGATATCAGAGAAAAATTTCTCGACGTAGCTTTCCACGTATTTAAATTGCAAGAGTTTCGCTAGCCAAGGAGCGTTTTTGTGCATCAACGTTGTTAGAGATTTTTTGAAAGTTACTAAGGTTGTACCTATTTTACCGTACACGTAAAACACGTTATTTGGATCTTTTATTGTGTCCACGGAGACACCGTACACGCACGTGGCGATCACGTCGTTTGTATATTTACTCAGAAGGCTCTTCATCTCCACTTCACGCTCGTTCTCCGGCAGTTTCGTTAAATGGTCCACGAATTTGACCGCGCAATCGGACATCAGTTTGTACATGCCTTTTATCTTGCTAGAAGTAAACGTGGGAGACAACATATTTCTATGCTCCTTCCACTGGTCACCTGTCAGACAAAATAACATTCCCCCTAACAAAGGGTCCACTTCCTTGTACGCGAACGGTCGATGATCTGGGAAGTGTTCAATATTCTTAATGGTGACAGCTTTAACCAGTTCCGGATCGCGGAGCATTAGAACAGGCGTCAGAAATTCGTAGAAGCCAACATATTTCGCTTCAGGATGTAATTGATAAATTTTGAGAATAAAATCGTGCATGGTGCACTGTCTTCTAAGGAAGGGTCCCATATTTCCAAACAGTGGCATTGGTGGAATATGCAGAATTCCATGCTTCTTGAATAAATTATGATTTCTTGTGGTAAAGTAGTAAATAACGACGAGTACTGCTGCCACTATGGACAAAGCGATCGGTAGATACTCCATGGTAAAGTAGTCGATGTAGGCAGAGTTTAGCGATGACACGATGTGCGCTATGTTCTCTTACCAAGAAGACTAAGAGTCGGCCTATGAGCACAGTTCTTATATAGGAGAACTCGTTTCTGCATATCAGTATGCAGGAGCGTCTCCATGGTGTCGAACTCCTTTGCGTTTGACGTTCCATCGCGTTCCACTCACATTTATGCGCAGATTTATCAGTTGTTGGTGATAATAAGTTTAACATATTCGACATAGATTGCAATTACTGATTACATAATTGGAAAAAAGATGGATCGATGGAATTTAGGCCGTGAAATTTTAATTAAACATACCCGGAGCATAGCTTTCAAGGAAAAGAAATCGGTCGTTCTGAAATTTTTAATAACCAATCTTCGATATAATATTCGTTAATAAGTACTTACGATTGTCTTCTATTCAGCTGACAATATATTTATTTCGTAGTTGTAGAGTTAATTTGTTATTCTTATTAAAATACTTTTCCCACTGAAGTTCCCAAACATTCAAGTATACAAATAAGAATAAAAGTTTGCGGACAGAGGATTATATGCATAAGGAAAAGATTATTATTAATTTTTATTGATTGTGTGACGTTTTACGCAGTACTTTAATGCGCAGAATAAAAATTATCGCGGACGGAAGACGGAAACGCGAAGTGATCATTAGTTAATTTTTGTAAATTAAACATATTCTTGATAAAAATTCAAATTGCTAATACTTCAATTTTAATGAAGGAATATTTGTGCCTTTACGGAATATTAAATAAATCATTGATTTTTTGCAAAAATACAAAATATGTAGCGAAATATTTTTGTTTAAAATTAGATTCCGTTTTCCTATTTGTTTATCACTATCAATCGTTCATTCTATCCAGATTAGTTGTGTGCATCGGACACATGGATAAAAGGACCATTCTTTATGTAAAAGCAAATTGAAAATGTAGCATTTCTTATTTGAGATTTAATTTTTGAAAAAATGCATTTTGTAGTCTTTAGATCTTCTCGCTCGGGTTAATTTTAAGAATTGATGAAAATAGAGAATTTGCATTTCCAGAGACACTTCCATATCAATTACTATTTTGATAAATTGTAACGCGAGGAAGAGAAATTTTAACATAATTATAAATGTTAATAACATTGTCTTTGTATTAGAAGTTTCTTCGTACCGATCTGATAAAGGCATCAGGCCCTTATCTGTTCATGTTTTTACTATCGGTTTCTCTTGACATTATAAATACCATTGTTTGAAATCGTGATTGGATTTACAATTTCGCTATATCATGTCACGTATATGTATACTCGATTATGTGCTCGATTATGTAAGAGGAAAACGTGTCACTGGATCTTTAAACATGAAAATAGTTATTTAAATTATTGATTATGTATAAAAAAAACACGTCAAACAATAGTTGACAGACTAGATGCAGACAACTGCGTGTTATTACACTTCTTTTTCGTGCGACAAATAGTTGGCGAGAAAAAATGAAAAGGGGGTCTATAAAAAGGTTCTTTTACATTTTGAATCATTTTTTATCAACAAAAACTTAAAAAAAGTGTCTATTTTTATTTCCGAACTGAAATACTTGTTACGATTTGGTCTTGATCTTCGGTATTCGTAGCCGTTATATGTTACTCTAGATGTCGAATCTTAGAATTCTCGAATTATATTTAAATAAAAACGGTAGTTGCTGTCACCAGAAGTAGTTATTAACTATTTCGATTAATTCGACTCCCATTCGCTAATTTTGAAACAAGGCAAACGTCTGAATGAAATGATTCCAAAAACTTGTCGCACCCTTCTAGAGCGCGTCACTATTTTGAATTTCTAAACTGTTGTATCGTTCATATTTTAATTCGTTAATATAACCGTATGAATAGCGTTAACTAGCGTATCAATACGACTGGTAAATAAACTTTCACATTTCGGCTTACCCGCTATGTGCAGGAGTACTAGCACGAGAAGGATTAAAGTCTCCTTGAAATAAATAAATATTTTCAATATCTTCTTGATTGATGAAAATAATAGTCAATGAATAGTTTTATTGAAATTGTATATGTGGTACAAGTCCGAAATCGAAGAAGAAAATGTTACAATGTTTAGCTTCTCACCTTGCTTATATGTATAGTCGATCGCACTCCTGGAATGTCGTACTGAGTCAATATAGTTATTGGAAGACTGACTGTATGAATGGTTAACGATTAATAAAATGCTCCGTTCTACTTCTTGACGTTACTTAAAGATTGGATTAGAACAATTCTCTGCTTCGTAAAGACTACTGTTCTTCTGAACTTGATATTAACTCTCGATAAATTTTTAACCGATTCTTGACAAAATTTTAACTACTTGGACTGAACTCTATAACTGAACTGAATAACTGAAGTCAATAACTGAACTGAACTGATTGAACCCTTGAAAAATTTTTAACTGAACTGCGCTTTGACAAAATTTCAACTGAACTGCTTCTCTACAAATTTTTACTGAACTACGTTACGGACTTTAACTGGACTGCTTGTTTCTAAGTGGCTACCCTTATTTATACTAAGACTATCATGGCCAATTGTCACGTGATGGATTATTCTATGATAGCGCGGAGTTTTGGTACGTGATTACTTTTGCGGACGCTGCAATCTTCAGTTCTGCTGGTGTCTTTCGAGAAGTGTTAGGATTTCAGCTTATGTGGGTTTCGTGGAAGTATTGCTGCTGCATTCTTCTTGCAGTATCAGTTTCTGCTCATGATACGTCGTATTCTGCTCAACACGTGGTTACCTTGCTGATGCCAGTACTTGAGCCTTTGGCGCGTGTCAGTTGTTTGTCACTGTAGCTGCTATATGAGAAGATTGTAGCATCTTAACTTCCATTACTTGCTTATTGTACTGTGTATTGTATTCAGGAGAGCGCGTGCAAGGCGGTACGTGTCAGTGGATGTCTCATTTTTCCTTGTTTCTATTTCGATATTCTTAGATTTTAATTTTGTTCAATAATAATGTAAAGTATTTATACGCGTATTTCCTTTCCTTTCAGTTTTGTGTTCTTAATTCCATTTGCCTAGAGTTGTGGCCCGCGATATTCGCGAGTTATGACGTATCCCTTTCACGTTTCCCTTTGATATAATCAATAACTTAGATGACATCGAATGAATTCGACTTTATGTGCGCCCAAATAATTATTTTAATGTTTGAGGGTCCAGAGGCGCGTTTCCCTTTTATATAATCGAGTTTAGAGTGTGCACAGATTATTTTTTTATTGATTGGAACTATCGTGGATGGTATTGTAACAGAAATCTTGAAACAAAATTTTATCAAGAATGAAGAAGAGCTAACCTAGATTGTACATGTACATATGTACGTACTATTAGAGATCAATCTAATGTTATTGTATTTTATATATTTTTTCCTATCTAGTATTGCCTAGTCAATCTCAATTTAAATTATGCGTACTTATACGAAATTAACCGGAGTAATGTATTCTACGCTGAAATTTACAACAAAAGAATTACGATAAAATATTTTGTTTTGAGCAAAAAAATATTTATCTTTGTATAGAACATTAAATGAACTATAAATTGTTCCTGAAAATATAAAATAAAAAGTCAAGTATTTCTGATCGATTAGATCCATCATACTATTCATTTAGCTATACATCGTGATTAGTCATTTCTTTTATTTAATTTTTAGACACCAGAGATGAACAATAACAAAACCGAAAGGTCCAGGCTCGACGATTAATCCACAATAGCTTTATTTCATTAATTAGAATCCAAGAACTTCTTTTATCCAATAATTGAGACACATGCATCCTTGAATTTAGTTTACTCTATTTTTATGCTAAACGAATTTTCCTAATTTAATATTTAAATTATGTTACAAAATAGTCGATATAAAACAAAACATTTTTTACCAAACTCTAACAAAGAAATAATGTTTAGTAAATTGTACATTACATGACATTAATTGTTCGAATCATGAGCAAAAACGTATAATCAACCAAGCCACGAATTATGTAGGAAATTTCATACTTAAGTAAAGCAAATAGCAATCTTCAATCAGTATCGAGATTAATTGAGAAAAACCATACAAAGCAGGATACAAAGAAGGATTTCAACGTATCGTGTTAAAGATCGCTCATTCCTAAATTCAGTTCCTATAAATTCCATTGATCATACGCAATTTGTCGTTCCATTAGTTTGAAATATGCAGTAAGAATTTTCTCTGGGCTCAACATTCAGCCAAAATCCATTCTTAGCATAGGCGGTTATCACACCTTCCTCATATTACAACGGAAGCAACATCTTCGATCCAATCTTGACATTGCACTTGGCGAGAATGTGACACAGCAATACCTTTATCTCTGTTAACGGGAACCGATTACCGATACAGATTTTGGGACCGAGATCAAACGGCATAAACGCCCCCGAATTTATGATCTTCTTTCTGATAGATTCTCGAGGAATCTATCCGGATCGAATTTCTGCGGATTTTCGTAGTGCTTGGGATCGTGATGAATCGCGTCAACAGGTATCCAGATATTCATTCCTGCTTTTACGGTGAAAGGTTTTTCACCAGGTAAGGCTGATGGCAGCTCGAAATCTTTCACACATAGTCTATCCAAGAATACGGTAATTGGTTGCAATCTCATCGCTTCGTTGATCATGGCATCGTAAGTCAATTGTCCATTATTATTTTCCAATGTTTCGTCGATTTCCTCCTGTTTCAAAATCTCTGGATTTTCGGCTAGAAAGTAGAACAGAAAGCTCGTCTGCGTTGCAACGGAATAAGTTCCACCAAAAAATAAGCTAAAAGCGTGATTAACTGTGTTTTTCATGCTCATACCTTTTCCTGGATCTTTCTTATCAGTCACATCCATGAATAACTGTAGAATGTCTGACCGACAAGTGCCATTGCGTTTCCTCTCCTCAACCGTGTTGATAACTTGTTCGGTGAAAAATTTTGCTACATGCTTTTCCAGAAATCGAAGGTGGAGAAGCTTAGTCAGGCAGGGTAGGTTCCTTTGCGTTAGCATTCTCATAGC